CTTCGACAACAACCCTGACTTTCCCCTTGACTTTGACTAAGAATTAAAAGCAAGGCATGGCATGCCTTTTACATAATAACGGGTCTTTTACTGAATTACTGAAAGAGTTCAGATGTAGTTAATTAAATTTAATGGAACTGAGGGAAGCAGAGCCTTAGTGACAGCCACAGACTCCATTAACCTTGTTCCACCCACTCTTTAGTCTGCAGAGCACTAAAACGACAAAAACCTTATCCTTCAGAAAGTTGAATAGCAATAAAGTAGAAAAAAATGCATCAAAACAATATTTTTGATAGATGCATTTTTACAAGAATGGCGTAAGTACAGATGAAAATAAAAAAATATGGGAATGTTCATTAAAAAGTTTTAAATATTCCAGTGTGACCGCTATACAGCTGAACTTTTAAGTAAATCTGTAGCATGAATCATAATACAGATGCAAGGCAGAGACTTCATCATCATGACCATCTGATCATCATCATAAAGCTGCATAACAACTTTGTCCTCATGAAAAACGGGAGCAAAAACAAAAGTGTTGTGTTTATCTTTTTGTTCAGTGTAGATAGAATTAACTTTATTGGTCTCACAGTGGGGAAATTCACTTGTTACAGCAGCACCAACACTCTGGAGAATAATTTGAAGAGAGGTAAAAACAAAGGTACATGTACATACACATAGGCAGTAAGCTATTGTTGTAACCTTTGTTCTTTTAAAACACAAGTAAAAAATGAAAATGTTGGGTCCCAGCGCTATGCAGCATACTGCGAGGGACAGAGACATAGTATGTAAATCTGGTATTGCACTGGTATTGAACCCACACTGAGTATTGCATTGGCGTTATTATTTAACAGGATAATGCCAGTACAGCTAAAACTGAGGAGATCCTCCCTCTTACTGCAGAGGGGATGAAAGATCTTTACTGGAGACAAAAAAGCACAAGGTGATCAGTAAACAGTGTGAGGTGATCTGAATGCTACACAGAAATACAACTCAGCTCACAAAAAATTGTGGTAATGTTCAACATTGTGTTCAGTTTTATGGCCTATAGACTCTAACCCAGGAAATGGCTGCAGGCATGAAGCTCTGGAGCATACTAACATTCTACCAGGGCTGCCAACTCTCGTGCATTGAGCGTGAAACTCTCTTCACACGCTCTCACGCCACACCTCCAACATCTCACACTGATGAATCAATATCGTGGCTTCTTTGGGTTACAAGAAATAACTTCTGAGTCGCTCCTGTTTACTGGCTAACATCATTTTCACAATGCTGTTGCCTTTTGCCGGCAGGTGCGGATTTACAAATGCCGGCGCAGCAGTGTTAGCCAGCACAGACTTGGGTTAGGGTTAAGTTGGAAGTGTGGAGGCTACGTCCCTCTTTGGCCTTTTTAAAAGGGGAAACACTGACAACCCCCAGTAGGCTGAGAATGAAATCTGTATCCACGATTGAGACATTAGACAGTTTAGTGATTATTTCTCTGTAAAATTCCTACATGTTGAACCTCTCATGAAAATAAGGAACACACAATATTTCTACAAAGCCCTTTGATAACATAATTATGTGGTGTCACAAATGAAACAAATGACAGTTTATTCTCTGTAAAAATCAACAACATAACAGTCCTTGTAACTGACTGTTCTGTTTTCACTAACAGTTGTAAAATGTTGTATCACTAAAATATCATTCTCAGTCAGTTGTTATTCATTATGTGTTTACAGCACCCTCTGTGGTTTCTTCAAGTGGTGCACTTTAGAAACGGATTTATTTTTTAATAACTTTATAGACCCTTTTACTGTTTGTAAACAATATGACGTCAGCGAGAATGCGCGCGCAGCTTGTCAACAGAGAATGGCGTTGTGTCAGGCTTTATCAAGCTACGCTGCGGGGTTATCACCGGCAAATCTTGAATGTTATATTATTAAAGTCACTTTAACGAATGGCAACAGACTCCCGGATCCCTGTGGCATTACGGAATGGGTGGAAGATGTAGGTGCGTGGCCAGATATCCAGTGGCCCGATATATATACGTTTTTAGTGGAGAGGCCCAGTAAGTACACACGTGAGAAGCTACGGGCATACAAATCGTTAGATGCATACAACTATGTTGTCTGTGGCCACGTACAGAAAGTAAAACATCACCACATAGACTCTGAGTTTTGTGTCTGCGAATTTCTAAATATTAAATATATCTGTGATGGGAAGGTGTAAGCATTACCTGTCCATCTTTGCATGGGGGTTTGGACTTCGCTTTGTGCACGTAAACACAGAAGGCACCAAATCAGGACTCGAGGAGTCCGACACCTCGCCTTTAAATAAATAGACTGCTTAAAAGCAAACCAGCAAACGCAACTTTATTTAATAAAACACACGTTTAACCAACTTTCTGGTGTAATCTTAGTACATAACTACCTTACCTGATATAAACTGGGCGCTACAAACTCGAGCATTTTGGATCGTGTTTTCAGTCCAGTTTTCATCAACCCTTTTGATGGCCTGCAGCCACAGACGCCTCCGATTTTGTTGAAATGGATGTGCTCCCTTTGGAATTCTGTAAAGTTTCAGTCCACTGCTTGAAGAGAAGCGATTCTGGCATCCATACACGCAACAACCCGACATTTTTATGTGCTCAGAACTTCAAAAGGGTTTAAAACGCTGTTTTAGTATCAAGTGTGAATGAGGAAGCCTTCACTCTCGTTGCCAGGCTGCGCGCGTAACTTTTGATGACGTAGGTAGTAAAAGGGTCTATTGAACAGGAAGTCCGCTCAGTCTAGCAAAGCAAGCGAGCAAGAAGAAAGGAAACCTATCGGCACACAGTTTATGGTGTCCTGTTGGAAAAAAACACTGCCTACATCTTCTGTTTATCTTCTGCCTACTGGTTGTGCAGCACCAGGCTAAAGGTCAAAGGTGACAGATCATCTGCTGCTAGTCTCCCCCAGACTCTGGACCTCTCTCCCCCTGAGCCTGAGATCAGTGGACTCAGTGGTCTCCTTTAAAAAGCAGCTGAAGACTCACTTGTTCAAGCTGGCTTTTGTATGACCTTCTTCACCACTCTCTCTTTATTCTGCTCTCCCCACCTATTCCACCTTCCTCAGGATCCACTGATTTCCCTCTTTCCTGTTCACTCTCTCTCTTTCTTAACATTTTTTCTTTTAAATCGCAATAGCTTATTCTTACTCATTTTAAATATATTTTAAACATTTTCGAAATGCTTTTTTATATTTTTACAATTTTTTTTTATTTTTTGTTTTTGTGAAACGCCTCGTGATTTTTATCTTGAGAGGCACTATAGAAATGATATTTTCTTCTTCTTCTTTATGGTTGTATCGCCGGTATGTACTTAAAGTATAAGTTGCAACGTTGTTTTTGTGCAATATGTTGCCCGCTAATGCAGTATTTAGCTGCAAGCTAGTCTTTTTGTTAAGCTAGTTACCCGCGATTTTGGAGGTCGTCTGGATGGCGTCAATCGCACAAGTTCTTATAATTAGACCTGTGACATATGCTGTGTAGTAGCAGTGTGGTATATAAATGCATATTATGCTGCACATATGTATATCATAAGTGTATTTTTTGTCTTGTTTATAGTTTTACCCTTTTGAATGTCAGTAAACCTATTGACAGCTGCATCAGACATGCACCCATAACGGCACACTGACTGTTTCTTAAAGTAACACATATTTTTATCTTACACATTAATTATGATGAATTATGTCTATCATGTTCTCTACTTAGTCAATAAAGCCTTTGAAATACACGAGAGGATTGTAATTGTACTTCAGAAACACTAGAAACATAGCCTCTTCTTCAAATCACTTACAGAATCAGGTCATTATTCCTGCAAGTTCCAACTGTTTCTACCTCACAAAACAACATTTTTGATTTTTTTTAATCTAATGGCTCATTTGCACCAAACCAGGCCACTGAAACAGACCAAACACACCATAGCTACCAAGTGAATTTGTTTCATTTTCTTTTCATGAGTAGAATCAAGCTACATTATACATTTTAATGCATCTTGCCATAAGTAATTTATTCAGACTTGTTCAATCCTGCTGTTTGGTTAAGTTCAAAGGGTTTCAGAGTTCATCTTCTGAAACATCATGTCGGATACATGATGTGAGGCCATTAGATAAATGGAAAAAGGAGTTTTTCTGAAAATGGAACAAGAAATTGTCTGCCTCTGAAAAAGGACCAAAACAGCCAGTGACCTCCAAACAAATTTGTGATTCAATTAGCTTCAGCACTGCTAATGTGTTTTTTTAATGAAAAAAGAGAGCTTTTGTACTCTGTGAATAAAAAATGCTAAAAATGGTAAAAAACCTGAATTTGATATAGCGCCTTCTGGAGTCCTAGAGCCCGCTAAGGTGCTTTACAACATAATCAGTCATTCACCCATTCACACGCTGGTGGGGATGAGCTGTGATGTAGCTACAGCTGCTCTGTGGCGTGCTAACGGAGGTGAGGCTGCCGAGCGCTGGCGCCACTGGTCCCTCCAACCACCACCAGCAGGCAAGGGGGGTTAAATGTCTTGCCCAAGGAAACAACAACAGCGACAGACCTGCAACCTTCCTATTACGGGGCGAGCACTTAACTCCTGTGCCACCGTCACCCCCAACATACATAAAACATACATTAAATGCTTCTAAGTGGTTAAAAAAACAATCTGGCCTCCACAGAAGGCAACAGTTCGTATGGCCTTGTTTAACTATAGAGATTCTAACAATTAAAGGTGTGGATTACTCATTTAATCAATACATTTGGAGTGCTCTCTAGTAGGAATGAGTGCCTGGTAAGTCGTACTTGGGAGGAAAAAATATATCGGTGCACATTTTCCAGGAACTAGCAATTACCCACATCACAGCTGAGCTTCAGACGGCAGGTTTTAGTGTTATTTCCTGGTATTTGAACAATTCGCCTCAAACTGAATAACAGCAACATGACTTTATCCCTGACTCCACAAATAACACAAGCCTGGAGGAGCTTCTGTTGTGTGGTGAAGTAGCCAATGCTAACAGTTAGCTTAAACTAGTCAGGACATTCACCGCTGTTTCTTGAAGGCTAAAACCACAACAGCCTTCCCTGTTGTGAGATGGGTGAGTCCAGGAACATTGTGTGTTGAAGATCTGTCAGACTTTTCAAATCCTAGATTTTCACACATTTACAGCAGATAGGTGGAGACTCTTTTGGTGTTAGGCCTGAAAAACTCTTGAGTGACTGATTATGACTAGAACAAAATAATAAGAAATTGGTTTTCAGTGAATTACACTTTTAATCTTTCTATTCATGTGTAAGGGGTTAATTTACATCTAATTAATGGACCATAAGACATGAAATTCCATAATGAATATGGAATCAACCTTGTGGACCTTTGGGTTATTTTAACCAGAAGATTGGAACTTTTTATTGCAGGGATTATGTAACACTTTGTATTAACTGAGAGACAAGAGAAGAGAGAGTCACCTTTAAAACGTTTACACTTTATAATAAGTGCACACTATTAAGCATTAGTTAATCATCAGTAAAGCATTGGTTAATGGTTATTTAATAATTTGTAATGCATCTACAAAAACATGATCATAATTACTTAACGGCTTACAAGCACCACTATAAAGGCTTTATTCGAGATGAAGCTACTGTGTCACACTTTTTATTCATGATGTTTCATGATCTATAAGTCATTGATTAATCATTTATAAACTCTGCTCTCCATCATTTACTAACCAGTCCTTTCATGATGTAAAACAGTAGACAACCCCACTGGTAACAGGACAACACAGATACAGAAAGCACTTTATTTTTAAGATGCCAATTATAAAACATCAGAACAATGCTTACAAATATTGACACACAACTGTCAACACAAACATTGTGCTGAACCACTATGAGCCGGTATTTGAAGTAAAGAACAAGGCTCGATGCACTTTTATGACCTGTATATCTTTACATGAAGAGTATCACATGTGTGATCATTAAAATAAACATAGAATCTAACAGTAAAAAAATAAAAGTCATACAAACCAAAAATAGTGTCTTTTTTATCACACCAATCTGCCAATCAACTGGACTGCATAACTAAATCTGGCCCTTTTTGCAGTTAACAATGGTGACCTATCACCACATTTCACAATGTAAAAAAACACACAAATCTAGTCTTTTTTTAAGAGGAAGCAACTTCCCAGAAGACTTATAGGACTCACGTTTGTCCTCTAGCTCTGGATCTGCACTGATTGCTGCAGCAGTTTCTTTCCCTGTTTTTTTTTTTTTTTTTCTAATTCTTTATACCTATCAGGTGCGACAATGAAAAGCTCAGCAATTGGAGCAGTTGCCACAATTGTGTTCCGGTCCACTCCCAGACGTTTAAAGGCAGCTGACATGGTCCCTCCTCTTTTGAGCAGCCTCAAAATCCTCTCATACCGGGTGACCACTTGTTTGGGATTCTGGGCTGCAACTTAGAGAACAAATGTGTTATATTGAGATTATTAATTTTATGTAATAGTGTAGTAATGTAACACACATTTTTCTAAATTTACTCATTAAATGCTAATGACGACTAAAGTCGTCATTAGCATTTTTATACTGTGTGGGCGTCGGAAAGAGCCCCCGCACCGTGAGAACAGACAGCTCTACTTTATCACATTTGTGAGTTTTCAAGCTAAGGGTGAAAGCAATCTAAAAACTGTAATTTATGAAATATTATTTAATTTTAGTCACACATAAGTCTCTAGAGACACTAGAAGGGTTAAATAACATAATGAACTCAGAGGAACAGCTGTACAATACAGCATGCAGGATCAAATTATAGAAAGATTTAATCTCTATACCTCTTGTTCTTGCAATTTGGTCATGTTTCTTTGACTTCTTATTCTTTTGGGCTTTGCCTTTCTTCTTCCTCTTCTGACCGTCTTCATCTGATGAAGTTGTGCTCGTGGAGGAGTCAGAACCTTTATCAAATGACCCGTCAGAGGAAAGTGAAGACATGCTCAGTACTTCACTGGAATGCTGGACAGACCTTGTGGGTTCTCTTGTGAGACCTAGTAAAACAGTTAAACAGACAAAGTTACAGAACAGAATGCTTATGTAAATGCTAAAGCAAAGAAAGTATTTGTCATGCTATGTAATGTTTTTAATAGTGGACTTACATGCTGCTAATTGCTCTTTTAGACAGTCTCTTTCTTTGGTGAGCTCATCAGTCTTATCCTTTTGCCACTCTAGCTTCATCTTACAGAGCTCCACCTCTTGTGATCGTCTTCTGTCTGTCAGCTGTGCAGTTGGAGCAATAGTCACACCTAGAGAAAATTAAAAACAAAAAGAAACTAGGCTATTAATACAACTAACAACTGATTAAACAACAACTGCAGACAGTGCAATCATAATACTAAAGAACAGTTTGTAAAATATGAATAACAGTAAAAACATTGCAATGATTAATACATAGCATGCAGTGGTAAAATTACAAACCATATTAAGTTGTTATTAGAAACTTGCTTACTTGACAATAATTATATATCAATGCATTTCAAATGTATTGTATTCGATTGTATAATGTAGAGCATTTATTGCATATCAAAAATGCTACAGAACGACAAACTAAATTGCAATTATAACCAACAGCAGCCCAGAGTTATTCCAAAAGCAATAATCCTTATTTATTCCTTTAACTAGGTCACAAAAATAACTAGTAGCATACACTGCGCATTGTTTTTGTGGATATCTAAAGCTTGAATGTAGCTGAAAGCTAAGCTAACCGCTTTGTAGCGGTTAGCGCCTAGCCCCGTGATGGTGGTTGTCTCCAACAAAATAACCAAACACAATAAAGTGCAAAACACTCACCACTGGTAACACTGACATCCACCTTGTCCATGTCGTTACTTCCCTTTTTTGCCCTCGTTCGCCTGCCTGTTGTAGATCGACCAGGGCTCGTCATGTTCACAGAGCCAGAGGAAGTCATTACGCCACCTTGGTTAAGCCCTAGAGGTGAAAGGGCACAGCATCGCGGTCTCCTATTGGTCACGTCGGAAGACGGAAGCAGCAAATGCGCGGCTTTCTCTGGCCAGAAGCGACATTGCAGCTCAGAGCTAGCATAACTGGAAACTCATTAAATGAACTTTTGGCCAAAATGGGAAATTTTCCATGACTGAAAAAATTAATTAACAAGGAGCTTTCTGTAAGAGGCCCACTGGAGCTGATAAAACATCTTCAGAAGATTAAACGGCTTAAAAGAAAAACGAAATGCAAAGTATGCCACTAGGAAACAAAACTGAAGAAAAGGGTGAACAACGGAGACCAATATGCCTGGTAAGAAATGCATTTTTTTTTGTAGGATGCCATAATAACCGGGGTACTTACTGTAAAAGTCATTGCTATTATTTGGTTTTATACCTAAATCCTCATTGAAACAGCAAACAGGGACATCTCTTGAAAGGGATGTTCCACCCCTAAATACAAAATGCTTTTTTCTTACTTAAGTAACTCACTGCGTATAATGATACATACATTTTTTCATGTTACAATTTTTAAATAGGATCTGTCGAGGAGCAGCACATGGAGGACACGTTAAACAAATCTCTGTCAGACACAAGTCCCTTTTCAGCCGTTCGAAAGTCTCACCTCAACACTGGATGCAATTTATCTACAGGTAAGCATAAACACTAGACAAAAAGGAACTAAATTTAAATTACTTTTTGTATGGATGATATTTTTCTCCCTGAAGATTCTCTCAGGGTCTCAGATTACGTCAAACTGACATGATGGATGACACCATTGCAGGCAGTACGACAACACTTAGTAAAATGTCCAAAAAATTAAGGAGGGTATGTGTGGCTGCAGTTGAAAGAATGAGACGTCGTACAGGTCAGCAGATTGGTGGCCGAAGGGAGTTTGTTGTGATCGATGAGAGTCATTTTCATCACAAACGAAAGGTAAGTTTTTGTAATAGAAATGATATATTACATCTATATAACAACCTTTCACAGCACTTTTTTTTTGCCATTTGTGTTAATTGTTTTCTTTCTGCATCAGTATGGGAGAGGAAGAATGGCAGGGGGCTGGAGAAGAAGAAAGTGGGTGTTCGGAATGCTGGGCATAAAAAATCTGCATAAAACAAGGCCTATCTTGCGTCTTGAGGAGAAAAGATCTCGAAGACATCTTGTTCCTCTGATCACCCTTCATGTCAGGATTGGTTCCTCGGTGATAAGTGATGAATGGCGGGCCTATCACGTTCTCCCAAACTTAGGTTATGAACACCAAACTGTTAACCACAGCAGATGGTATGTGGACCCTCTAACAGGTGCCCATACCCAACATCTGGAGAGAGCCTGGAGGTCTTACAAGGAGAGAATTTGGAGACTCTGGGGTAACAGAAATGACAGCCTACTATCAGAACACCTTACAGTTGTTGAGTGGAACGGATGGCCTGCAAAACACAAACAGGGTGCTTTAGGGAGACTGATATATGACATTTAAAAAAAATACAGATAAATTTAAAAAGTTACTGTTGCAACTGCAATTTTTTTCACCTTTTGAAAATGTTATTTGAGCACTTCATGTAAAGATATACAGGCCATAAAAGTGCATCAAGCCTTGTTCTTTACTTCAAATACTGGCTCATAGTGGTTCAGCACAATGTTTGTTTTGACAGTTGTGTGTCAATATTTGTAAGCATTGTTCTGATGTTTTGGCATCTTAAAAATAAAGTGCTTTCTGTATCTGTGTTGTCCTTTTTTGGTTACAATGTATTTTGAAAAACTTTCACTTTTATAAATAGGTTGTAAGGTATATATAGTCTCCACTTTAGATGAGCTCACTCAAAATACTTCACTAAGAAGTAGTAAATGGTTTGTAGCGTTCTAAAGTAGTTTATTAATGTATTAATAATAATTGATAAATTATCTTTTGAAAAAGAAGTGGGTCGGTAGGGAGCTGCATCTTTGGAAGCCGTTAAGTGACAATTGTAAATGTATTGTAAGGCATCTGTTAACATTTAGTAGCTGACTGATGTAGTCATGAGATTCAGTGTTTAGAAAACATCTAGTGAGACTCAAGTATGTGTAGTAAATGTTTAGTTTATAGTATTATATAGGGTATGTTAACTACGTACCCTTTACCAGTGGGGTTGTATACTGTTTTACATCATGAAAGGACTGGTTTGTAAATGATGGAGAGCAGAGTTTATAAAGGATTAATCAATGACTTATAGATCATGAAACATCATGAATAAAAAGTGTGACACAGTAGCTTCTTCATCATGAATAAAGCCTTTATAGTGGTGCTTGTAAGCCGTTAAGTAATTATGATCATGTTTTTGCAGATGCTTTACAAATGATTAAGTAACCATTAACCAATGCTTTACTGATGATTAACTAATGCTTAATAGTGTGCACTTATTATTAAAGTGTTAACGATTTATTTCTAAACAATTTTAAAGAATTTTAAACAAGACTAACTCTAAACTAAGTGATGAATGGATCTTGGTGAGAGAGGATTATAAGATACCTTTCGTCAAACATTTTGACAGGTCTATTGTTCTTTGACCTTTTTGACCTTTCAGTCCTATTGTTCATTTTGACCCTTGACCTTGCCCCCCTTTCCTATCATTAATCAAATGGACAGGTGTATTGTTCAATCTTTGCCCCCCCTTCCGTATCATTAATCAAATGGACATGTGTATTGTTGATCATCCAGATGGCCTAGACCCCCCACGCCGCATCATCAATGGCGTATTGTTGAGCGTCCAGATGTCCATGATCCCCACGTCATAGGCTAATGTGTGTAATGGCGTGTGAAGTTTCTTATTGTGTTACTCCAGCGGTTCCCACAGCCCCCTCCCTTCTGAGTGTAATCCTATAGTGGATAACTCTTTAAAGAGCAAGTAACGTCTAAATTAACTTTTTTTTGCTGATGAACTGTATAAATGAGTGTCTAATAGTGTTTTAAATGTGTGCATTCTTTATTTTAGCATTTTGGTGCATTTTCTTTAAAAATTAAAAATTCTGTCTAAAAACCACAGTAATGCGCCACCTTCAGCTGAAAACATAGAATTTGAGTCATTTTGAATAAATTTTAGCCAATGGCTAAAGAGTAAAGTACTACGTAAACCAGTAGAGTACTACGTAGCAGCTCCGTGCCAAAGTTATAAAAGCAACGAGCGTCTCGGCCACGCCCTGTGGCGAGTGGGAGTTGGATTTGCAAGCGAGTGTAGGAGGTCAGCGGTAGTTCAGCATTAGCATATAGCATTAGCATATCCTAGTCTTTAGCATATCTTTTAGTGTTATAAATACTTATTTAGTGTTAGCTTGGCTGTTGTATATTATAGTTTAGTTAGTGTTTGGCTGTTAGTGTAATTGGGAAAGTATTTCGGGTTTAGTGTTCCATATCGTCTTAGTATTGGTGAGTAGGTGTAGTGTAGTATGGTTGCGGTGACTCTGTGGGCATTTTACCCGCGATTCTGCACGTCTCCGTTTGAAGAGGGAGGCTGTGCCCACCGTGGCTCTTCCGCGATTTAGATGCAGCCCACCGACTCTGCTCCCCCACCACGGCGGGCTCCAGTCTGAGGTGAGTCAGCTAAATAAACGTTTTAACATCTTCTAAAGACAATTCCCTACCTAAATGCAAAGTCTGAGAGACGTGGTTCACTTCCTTTAGCTAGTCAGTCGGCAATTCTGCAACAGTGTCTCTAACTGACGCAGCACTTGTTGACCGCATTACAGCGTGAAATCCAGCTTGTGACCCGGTTCTGTGAGGAATTCTGTTCAGGAGGTCGCATTTCAGGCTCTCCACATCATATGTGACTGACTTTTACGTTATAACAACGATCACACACTAGGAATGTTATAAAGCGCCTATATAGGAGATTCTTTTGTATATTATCTGACTATAAACTCCAACAACAATGTGCTTCTATTTTTTTTTTCAGGCTAAATCTACCCAAGACACTGGCTGTCAGACTGATTTAGCTGCATGAATGTACTTGTCCAGGCTGACGTGAAACCTTCCCTGTAGCAAAGGTGAATTATTTTTAATAATCTTCTATGCAAACATTTTATTATTACCTTCTAGTTTTAATTTGTTTTACAGATTATTTTTACACGTGATTTTATGCTCTTTTAAACATTTATAAATGTGCTGCTTCTTTATTTTTACATAGCCAGCCAGAATGGAGTTCACAGCCGCAGTGTGTCTGGTGACCCACGGGGACCATGATGAAAATTCATCTTCCAGAAGGTCCCAGAGCGTCCAGACCCCCTGAAAAGACCAAGATGTGAGGTGTCTGCTGTTGATTCCAGCTTCCACCTCAGTGACAGTGCAAGCTCAGTGAACTGTTCAAGGTAAAAAAAAATTAAAACATTTCAGAATTTTTAAGATATTAACAATTAAATAAGTATGTGATTACATCATGACATCATGACGGAGGCTACTGATTCTGCCCGTGACACTTGGTGGTGACGTGTGAGCTGATTCTCCTGGAAAATAACTTTTACATTAAATATTTTGTTTTTGCTATCAAAAGTAAATTAACTAATAACCTGCATTATTGCAGGACATTCAGCAAAATATGGACTCTACACCATGAGGCATGCACACGTTAATACTCAATAAGAGCACATAAGGTGAGCAACACCACATATTGTACACTGTCCTGAATTTGTTTTCTTTCTGCATCTCATTAGCCTGGCTGATCACCTGATAACTCCTGTCATCTGGTTATGACAGCATGAGGATGTCCTCACACACCTGTAACCTATCAGCTCATCTGGCAGAATAGAGAGAGAAGAGACAACACCACATCTCCTGTTCCTGGAAAGCCTTCAGCCTTCCTTCGATGACTGAGCACCTCCATCAGCTCTGTCTCCTGTCTGCCTACAATTATTATAATAAATATTGTGTTTGACAAGTTTTTTGTGCTGCCAAATATCTCATTTAGATTCCAGTTTTGATATTTTAATGGATATTTATAAATTACATTGAATATCACATTTTTGTTGCATGTTTAACTAGCTATTGTGATTAATTAAACTAGCACATCACTGTTAAAAGCTCGTTCTAATTTCAAGCATGTTTAAGTATTTATGGACATGAACAAAAACAGGAAATATATAAATTGAGATTTATTTAATTAATATAACAAATAAGGGGGAAAGAGTCATTGAAAGGCACATTCTTCTGGAAGTTCCTGATCCTGAGGACACCAGCAGAGGAGACCAGCTGCAGACACCAGAGACCAGCTGCAGACACCAGAGGACCTAGAACCGAGAGAGCAGCTGTTATTAGTAAATAAATAAAGAAATCAGGGCAGTTTTAGTGGGCTGAACACATTACAGAATAATTTTCTCATGGGGTATTTTCATAACTTTATATGCAGCAGACTGTACCTTGAGCCCAGGGCTACCGGAGAGCTATCCAGCATGTTTCAGTGGATTTTCCTGCTTTAACAGGTTAGATTAGCTGTTAAGCAGCTCAGCTATTTGTTGCTGATTAAAACCAGGTGTGCTGAAGCAGATAAACCTCTAAAACATGCTGAATACTAGCTTTTTGGGGCCGTGGAGACAAACCCTGCAGCTAATCCAATGCTATGGCTAACGGCTACTTACCTTTCAGAGGTGATTCTGTTGGGTCGGTTCTGGGAGTTTCAGGCAACTCACAAGCTCAAAACAATAAGACTCAGGTCCGCTTGTCTCCTCCAAATAGACTTGGTCCCTTTCTTCTCGAGTGTCTGTAAGGAGGGGGAGAAACGTCCTCCACTTCTATCAACTGCTCAGAGTGAAGGGAGCTAGCTTCGTCTAGTTAGCCATCGTCTTCGTCACTGCCGCGGCTCCGCCCTCTCGGTCCTCCAGGCAACGCCTACTAATGTTGCATTTTTTAAAATTGATACGTGGGTGGAGAAGGACTCCGAGGCTCAATTGACCCGCTCTTTAAAAGCTCAGATCTGTCCGAATGGTGAAAAGCCGAGCTCTAAGAAAAAATGATGAACCACGAGGAGATGCATGAAGCACCAAGCCACGAGGAAGAGGTGCCTACTACATCCGACGCTTCAACTTCAACTCAAAAAGTGAAAGAAGAGAGCGTGGATACGCCGCTGTCAAAAACCATGCTTTGTGAAAAATCCATCGCTATACATCAGATGCCGGCTGGAATTGGTGCTCCCCGCAAATCTACATTTTACATCTGCAGAGTGCAGGTTCCTCCTTTCGGCGGTAAAGAGATCTTGGAGCAAATATGGCAGTTGGAACCTTACGGCTATTCCGGTAGTTTTGTGTACCGGTTCAGCTACGACACTAAGGAACTGTGTTTAATCCAAGATGTGGCTGAGGGGGAACCTCTTAAATCCTATTTATCAAACTCACCAGCGGTTCTCTCCTACAACGATTGGGCTGTGCTCAGGCTGACTGTTCCACGCAAGGTGCACAGAGATGATGAAGAGAGACCTCGTCCGCCTGTCAATCGCAGCGGGCCGCAAGCTCTTCCAACGTTGGATGAAATCCAGAACGCTGTGACAGCATTCAGCGCTTCATGGGAGGGGGAAGAGGATGCTGATGGAGAGTGGATGTTCAAGGCCTCGGTCCGTGTGAGAGGATTTGAGCTCTTTTTTGTGCTGGAGAATGTGCATTCTGTATGCGGAATTTACCGCCTTCTACAGGTTGTACCTTTCGAAGCCTGGTGTGAAAAAATAAATGAAGTGGAGGATCGTATTACTTCACTTTTTCGTACCAGCCGCTGTTGGAACGACATTCTGACAGTGCGAATAAAGCTGGAGTTCTAAGACCTGCCTTAGGAGGAGGAGGAGGAGGTTGCATCATCATACCACCCCCCACCCAGCACTAGTTATAAAGAGCTTACAGTTAGAAACCATTTCATCCAGACGATCTAGGCATCAGCATGACGGGGTTCTACAATCAGACGACCCTTAAAGACCTTTGGAGCCCACCACCGAGCTGGGTACTAACGGATTCATCACCACCGAGATACAACACCAGTCCGAGGTCCAGATCGCTACCATCACCACCACCGCCGAGATACAACGGCAGTCCGAGGCCCGCATCGGCACCATCGTGTTTTCCAGAGGATAACCTACCACGACTCCCCACCATCATGGAGGTTCCGGAGAACGTACCATTCAGGCCCTGGGTCGACGGGGCTGATCCACCTTTGGTGACATCAAACCCTGAGCCGCCGCCAGGTCATGAGGAGGAGGAGGATGTGCAACCCCTCGACATCCAGAGCACCGATGAGGAGCCTCACCGTCTGCCTGACTGGGTGTTTTCAGAAGACAAAGTAGACCGTGTGAAAATGGGTCTTCTTCACTTGGTCAACATGGCGATCAAAGCTCACTTACCAACCATCTGCCACGGATGCAAGATCGATCACCCCAGTCAACGGCAACACGAATGTCTTTACGTAGCTGAAAATGAATTATTTTACGATTTTCACTTTACGGACATTATTCGCAGGGTTTTAACACCTAAACTGATTCCGGCTCTTCAAAGTTTTCTCAGTCTGCACGGCTTCCAGCCTCTGGACACTGAGATTCTGTTCACCATGGCTGTGACGCAGCTACACGGATTCAGGGCTGTGATGCCCATTCACAAAGACATTTTTCCGGTGTACGATCGCCTGTCCAAAGCTGACCTGGACGCGCTGTCCGGGGTGGTGATGGAGTGAGCGAGCTGCGGAGGGTCTCTTCTACAACTTTATTATTATAATTGACGACAGTATGATTAGATTTTAGTTCTGACTAGTGTTTAGATTAGACTGTGTGATTTTATTCATTATATTTGATGACTGTTTTTAGTTCTGACTAGTGTTTAGATTATATTTGACGGCAGTATGATTAGACTGTGTGATTTTATTCATTATATTTGACGACTGTTTTTAGTTCTGACTAGTGTTTAGATTATATTTGACGACAGTATGATTAGACTGTGTGATTTTATTCATTATATTTGACGACTGCTGTTTTTACAGTATGATTAGACTGTGTGATTATATTTGATGACTGTTGTTTTTTACAGTATGATTAGATTTTATTTCTGACTGTAGCGTCGTTAGATTTTAGTTCTGATTAGATTGTGTGATTTTATGAAATAAAAAGAACTAATGAAAACAAATATGCATCATTTTTGCCAACCATTCATCAGAGATGGAGGAGGTAATGAAAAAGGTTTATTTTACACCAGAACATCAGGGTAGTTACGGTGGTGTGGAAAGGTTTAGAACCGGTTTACAACAAGATATTGGGGAGAAAGTTTCATCGGATAAGGCTCGCGATTTTCTCTCAGAACAAGACGCCTATACACTTCACAAACCTGCAAGAGTTCATTTTCCGAGAAATAAGGTTTTTGTCTCAGGGCCGCTAAAACAGTTTCAAGCTGACTTATGCGACATGCAGGCCTTGTCAAAATCAAACGACGGCTTTAATTACCTATTAACCGTCATAGATGTATTTTCAAAGAAAGCCTATGTACGAGCCCTGAAAAACAAATCGGGGAAAGATGTTACAGAAGCTTTTGCTTCAGTTTTGAAAGACAGCGGTGTCCCTAAAAAATTGCAAACGGATTCCGGTAAAGAATTTTTTAATAAGAAATTTGAAGCCCTCATGAAGAAACACGAAATTGTGCATTTTGCCACAGCCAGCAGCGTAAAGGCCAGCGTTGTGGAGAGATTTAACAGGACTCTAAAAGGTAGAATGTGGAGATATTTCACAGCCAAAAACACCCATCGCTACATAGATGTGATTCAAGATTTGGTGAAAGGTTATAATCATAGCTACCACACTTCTATCAAAATGGCCCCCTTTGAAGTTAACACGGAAAATCAATGGCAAGTGTTTCGCAACCTTTACGGGACCACCGCACCGAAGCCTGCAAAGAAAATGAAGTTTAACAGGGGTGACGTTGTGAGAATTTCCAAACTCAGAGGTGTTTTTGATAAAAAATATGAGCAGAGTTTCACGCACGATCTGTTCACAGTGGACCAGTGTCTTCATCGAGCACCGCCGGTTTATAAACTCAAAGATTTTGATGGGGAAAAAATTGAAGGGTCATTTTATGAACCCGAATTGCAGAAAGTAAACTTATCGACCGAACGATCCTTCCACGTTGAAAAAATTTTAAAGCGCAGAACTTACAGAGGCCAGAAGCAAGTTTTTGTTAAATGGCTTGGCTGGCCTCAAAAATTTTCCAGTTGGATTAAAGCCTCAGACCTGCACGACGTTTAAAAAAACAGATACAATAAAAAAATGGATCTGAGACAAGAGGAGGGTTTTTATATCACATTGCCCTCTAACGCCAGTAACGAAGTGTTTAAAAATAACACGATTGCCAGTTACAGAACCGATCTAGCCCGTCACATCAATCTCAATGGCAGGTGGCAAGTGGGACTGTCTGAAATCACTTACGTGCACTCGTGGTTTAATTTACCGAACGATCGTGCGTTTGTTGAATGGCGACGAGTGAAAGAACCTAAGAAAATCAACAGAGCTCCGATTACTCCCGGATATTATAAAGCTATCCAAACACTTAGAATGGAATGTGAGACTGCTATGAGAAAGATTGATCCTGATTTCTATCTCATTCACAGATTCCCCGACCCCATTCTCAAATATCAGATCGGTGATGAAATAGAATTTAGATTTTTAGCGCCTCTGGCCTATCTGTTAGGTTTCAACGCGGGTGAGTGGTTGACGCCTGAAGGTACTTCAGGCCTCGATGAACCGATCAAATCGGCGCCTCACCCACCCGATTTAACAGGCGGTCTATATCAGTTTTACTGCTACACGGATGTCGTGACCGAGCAGTTGGTCGGGGACGTCTTTGCGCCTTTATTACGTACGGTGAAAGTTGAAGGGACCTTCGGTCACACGGTCACTCATGTGTTTAATCCAGTGGATTACATCAGCGTTTCTACGAATCATATAGAAAGCATTCATATCGAAATAAAATCTGATCAGAATGAGCCGATTCACTTCTTATACGGAAAAACAACGGTGAGGCTTCATTTCAGGCCCGCACATCAGAGAAA